ATAAAGGGTAAGAGACCATAGAATGATACAAAGAATGAAGGGGTGGTCAAAGGAATGGAATGATGAAGTAAGGAAGGGTAGTAGCAAGAGTCAGCATGCATATAGTTCATAGACAGTGCCCCTGAGGGATGGAAGTCCTGAGTTCTGATACAGAAGGGTGTAGAACCCTCAGAACTGAAGGTGTAAGAGCAGAGAACTGTAACATCACCCCCCCTCTAAAACCAATCATCCTGATTAGTGAACATTGGGCTTGGTCAGTGGCTCAGGCATAGGTCAGAACAGTAGGGTTTGGAAATCTGTAAGGCAGAGTTGATACAGAGCACCTGGATGAAGTCAATAGAAGTCTTGGATTGCCTTAGCAGTATGGGTGAGATTCTCAGCAGGTTCCTAAGTGTGTTCTTCAACTGGGTATCCCTTCTAGTGGATAAGGAACTTGAGTTTTCTGCACACTAGCTTGGCATCTACTACATACTCTACTTTGTATTCTGGTTTGGAACCAATGAGTTCTGGTGGAGGCAGTAGGGGTCTTTGTTGTAAAGGAAAACCTGGATTGTAGTATTGAGACAGTAGAACCTTGTTAAACACTGGGTGTATACACTTCCATGTTGCCAGAAGTTGGAGTTTGTAGACAGAGGCACTAACCTTCTTTTCAATAACAAAGGGTCTGAAGTGCTTGTTGTCCAACTTCTTCATTGGGCAATCTGTGGTCAGGTTAGTAGCTTCCAGCATAACTTTGTCACCAGGCTGGTAATCCTTGGCTGCAGACCTCTTCTGATCATAGTTCTGCTTCATGACCTGTGCTGCCTTTTCCAAAAGAGCTTGTGTGTCCTCCCTGGTTCTGTGTATCTGTTCTACAAAGTCTGTTGTAGATTCAGAACTACTGTTCTGGTTCAGAACTGTCCCCTAGTACAGATGTCTCCTATGATTGAGGAAGAATAGAGACTGTCCTGTTGTGGAGTGTTGCTGGTTATTGTGCACAAATTCTGTCAGAGCTAGCCATTCAGACCAATCTGATTACTGATGATTGATGAACATCTAGAGGTAGAGCTCAATCTCCTGATTGACTCACTCAGTTTGACTGTCAGTCTGCAGGTGATAGGCAGTAGAAGGGTTCCCTTGAATTCTGAGAAGTGTATACAAGTCCTACATGAATTTTGACTCAAATTGTAGTCTGTAATCATGAATGAGCTTCTGAGAGAGTCTGTACAACTGGAAGACATGATCCTGATAAATGTGTGCTATACCTTCAGAAGTGAGTTCTGTTCAGGTCAGAACTGTATAGACTTGCTTGGAGAATCAGTCAACAATCACACAGATAGTGTTGTAACCCTAAGACTCAGGTAGCTTACTGATCAGGTCTACCAAGACTTCTTCCCAAGGGTGATCTAGGATCCAATACAGATGTAGAGGAGCCTGAACCCTTGTCCAGTGGGCCTTAGTCTGTTGGCATGTATTACAACCAGTCACATACTTTAGGATTTCCCTCTGTATTCTGGGCCACTAGTAGTTCTGAGTGATGAGTTCCTGTGTTTTGTGTTAGCCCAGATGTCCTACAGTTGG